GGTCTTTTCCTAGAGACCAAATAAACCAATTTGGCGTGGCCTACTGCTGTTTTTTTTATTTTTAAACAATTACTACTATCTCTGCTTGCTACTGCTCCACGCTCATAGGGTCTATTGTCCCCAGGGTACTGCCGAACGTACCCCGGTTAAACTATTTGATATGGCTAGAGGGGGGAACGGGGGTATTGTCGGGGGACCGGGGAGCCATTATTACCGGGAACTGGGAGAAGTTAGAAGTTTTCGTGGATTCGGCGAATAGAGGTCCATCGGGACGTGGGAAACACCTCTAAAATTGTCTGGGATCTGGGAAAATTGTGTCAATTCGTCGGATTTCAATTTCTGCGCTAAGTATTTTGTTTATTTTTTTATGTTTTTTGTATTTTTTTTCATTAAATTAATGCCCAGATAACATAAGTACTATGTATAAATAGTATTATGTAGTGTTTTGGAAACCTAAACTACCTGAATTTTCCTGAAACATGTCTACATAATTTCCTTGGGAACTGGGAATTGGCGATTTTATTTTACTGAACTGGGATATGAGGTGTTTTTTTGCTGGAAAGTGGAATGTCCCCCCCGTTCCCCCTCTGGCTAGTAGGTGTAGTTTAGGTTGAGGTTTAGGGTTAGGATGAGGGTTAGGGGTTACGGGCTAGGGAGTAGGCTGTAGGGCCGACTCACTTAGACTTGGGTTTAGTGCGAGTAGGCGAGGCGGACGGTTCCGCGCATTATTAGATAGTACCAGGGTACGTTCGGATTATACCGGACCGTACACAGGGTACGTTCCGGCAGACCCTGTGGGACATAGACCCTCTTAGCATAACTGACGCTTCAAGGGGTCGTAACAGGTACTACAGAATGTATCGAGGTACATATATTGTATACACAAAAGTGTCAGACTTGTACTACAGAAAGTGTACCCTAACCCTAACACTAAACCTACCCTAACCCTAACTCTAACCCTAACCCTAACCCTAAAGCATACCTCATATGAGAAATATAAACATAAATACTAAACAACCTAAAACTACCTCGGGTACATATCTGTAGTACCTGTTACGACAACGACCCTTCGTGCATAACTGACGCTATCCCCAGCATAGCTGACGCTGTGTCCCTCTGTGTGCCGCTGTTGCGGCTGTTCACTTTTTGTTGACGCACGAGCGCCGTTGCCAGGCAAGCGGTCACGTAGCCATATCTGTCACAACAACAACATGATCGCACTCGCCGCACGGCGTCGCTCTATTTGCACATAATGCACGATTGCCGATAGAGCCCACGTAGAGCTAGTAGTAGCTCTCCGTCAGGCGATGATCGTGCCCCCTTCACTTTACTGAGCACTGTTGTTGGCGACACGTTCTTGTTAGTCGACTACTCGTTCGGTCAGTGCGTAGGGGTACGTACGTACGCGTACGTGATGAGTCATAGATAGCACTTCGGAAAGGGCTTTGTGTGGTGGATACGAGACGTACGTGATTGCGGGCTGAGGATGAGTATAGTGACACGCGTTCTATTCACACGGATTTCATAATTGACTGCTACCATTGTCGCGGTAGTGCTTTGTACTCTCGGCGTGTCATGATGACGACGAACAGAACTCTGCCTTCCATCGACTTGGATGCGCTGTTAGAGACGGTCATAGACGGGAGGACGGAGGAGGAGGAGGAGGAGGAGGAAGAATACAGTTACAGGCTATGGTCAAGCGACAGCGAGGGACTGGTAGATGACCCGCAAGAAGTAGCCAGTTACGAAGTCACAGGTAGACTACTGAGTGGTTAGGATTCGCGTTAGGATCGTGGTTATGATTAGTTTAGGGTTTGTTTAACATTATGATTATAGGGTCAAGGATATTGTGAAGATGATAATAATACTATTAATATTATTAGTGTAATATCTATGATGACGATGGTGACAATGATGACGACGGTGGCGGTGGCGGCGACGACGACAAAGATGACAAATACGATGATGTCGTCGTATGTATAGTGGGGAGGAGGGGCGTATAACGTGTTATGTTAGAGATTAGGGTTATAACTTATAGTTGGTGTTAGGTTTAGCCACAAAATAATTGTTTCTTCACTTCTCACTGCGTGGCGATCGAGACGTGAAATGTTCATAAGACGTGAAACAGTCGTAGAGCCTGGTCGGGGCTACAGTGGCCCGTGGGGGGTGCAGATATGGCACGTCGCGATTCATGTATAAATCACCCCGTCTGTCACACAGGCCCTTGGGCTCATAGGGTCTATGTCCCCTAGGGTACTGCCGGAACGTACCCTAAGTAGCTGATTTCGTAACGAAATCACTCGCAGTAGCTGATTTCGTAACGAAATCACTCGCAGTAGCTGATTTCGTAACGAAATTACTCACAGTAGTTGATTTCGTAACGAAATCACTTTGTAGACTTGATTTCGTTACGAAATCAATGATTTCGTAACGAAATCAGTCATGCGACACTTGGCGCCCCATAGGATACGGAATCATTGTCGACAGGTGGTGTACGTTTTACGCCCAGCCATTCACCCCCTTCGGAGTTTTTAGCCGAAATGTCTTACTTTAATAGTATAGATATAAGGAAAAGTAAAAAACCCTTGATTTGTATAGGGAAGAACAAAACGAGCCTCAAACTAATTTCATAAAAAATTCGTATTTTACACTAATTAATTATTGACTTTAATTAGCAGGCTATTTACCAAATACCTGTAATAGAAACATGATATTCCTGTCCCCCTGAACCACAGATGTAGAGAGGCTAGACAACCCTGGTAATTGGTAAAAAATCTATATGAAACCAACCAATATGGCAAAAAAGAAAGTACAACCGTTAAGGAGATATTCGCAAATGAAGTGAATACTTCTTTCATGTTTTCCCTTAATTTCTAAACTTTGACGAATTGTGTAGTGTTTATTATGAAAGATATTAAAAAATTATATCAAAAATATTTTTTTGTTAAAAATATAAATTTTGCACTAATGGACCTTTGACCTTAATTAGTAACCTAATTAAGCAAATTTGGAAAACACAAACAATTTTTTCATATTCAGCACGAAAATCCGCTCTAGAAACATCTATTTGTTTGCTTTTCCTCAAAAATGCCGCATGAAATATGATTTTTGGAAAATTGAACCAGTCTATATTGGGAAAAAAGATTTTTCTGTAATGGCGGCCACTAACTTGCATATTAATCAGTATGTTTACCACTTATTAATTCGGAAATGTGTTTATCTTATTTTCTTATCTTCAAAACACGTGTCTATACATTCTATTGTTAATTTTTGCTTGCCTGGGTACAAAGTTATTGTAGAAAATGGTTCAAGAAAAGTCAAGAAGGCAGAATTGCAACACAAGATATAACTTGATAAGTCCTTCAACATGTTTAATGACACTAACAAGGAAACACACTTGATTATGTTGATGATTAGCTACGATTGGTACACAGGTCAGTGTGAGAAGTCAGTATGACAATTAGGCCTCTTAAATAATTAATTGCCACTGAGATGTTCAGGTCATGATTGTGTGTTCGGGGCCTTAAGCGTCTTCCATGGAGTTTGCCAATAGCAACCTTTGAGGCTTCCTTCTGATGAAGATGTTGACCACCTTATCCATTTGCAAAGGGAGGTCCTTGTGGAGCAAACAGAAGCAGGAGGGCGTTCAGTCTGACGTTACCCCTGAAGACCCACTGCTACACAAAAGTTGTTTTTTTAAGTTTTTTTTCTGAGCCTGCAAACGGGGGGGGGGGGCTACGCCGGCTCAGTCTTATGCTGGATACTATGAAAGCCCTGAAACGACATACGACTTATGAGTTTTCCGAGTTTTCGAGTTTCTGAATTTCGTATCGTATATAGTACTAGAGATTGAGGTCAAGCAAGGGTCACATATGGAAGAATGTAAACACGTGAGAACACGCATTGAGAAATGTTTTTAAGTCGAAAACAGACACACTGCGCATGCGTTATGACGAAGATTCTAAATTTAAATTAGGCCTTATGCTATCCCGCTTAAAAAGGCACACATATTTACTCTCATGGTAAGGGATTCTAAATTTAAATTAGGCCTTATGCTATCCCGCTTAAAAAGCAACACACATTTACTCTCACGATAGGGGATTCTAAATTCAAATTGTATTTCTCTGCTAAATAACACACGGTAGGCGATTATAAGTTTAAACTGACTTTAATGTCACGGAATAACGCATGGGCAGTGTGTTAATTTTAGGACGTCAAACATTTTCTACGACTCTCTGAACACTTTATATATATTGATGGGAAATTCAGAAACTCGGAAACTCAAAAAGTCGCATGTCGTCTCAGGTCTTCCATAATATATAATAGCTAAAAAAATGTCTTTGTCTAGTAAATATGCGAGCTGGACAATTAATGACTTGAAAGCGGAGCTGAAAAAGAGAAATGCGCGGGTTTCTGGTAGAAAGGCTAGTAGAGCGGTGAGTATCTCAAACACGGCGTAGCTAGTACGACTACGAGTACTAGCAGCAGGAGTTACCATACAAGTTACAACCCCGATACAACCTAGCTCCAGAACTATATAGTATAGCCCTTGTTCGCCACAGCACGCGTTAACACACTAACGTAGCCAGATTGTGTACTGACTAGTAGGGCATATATGCAGCGGGCACCTAACGGACTGAAGCAAACTGCATAATATAGCTTGCTGAGTGAGATAGGGTTGGGAGACAAAGGACAGACGGCAGGGAAGATAGCTGAGGGCGGTAGACGAATAAGGAGTCTATGTGAGGGGCAAGAAAGACAATGGGAAAACGGGAGGGGATGAAGTACGAGTTTTGCACCCTGCAGGCTAGGGCGCTCTCCTAATTATAAACACAGGTGAACTTATAAAAGATTTATTTCAGAAATCTATGCTGAGATACCCCCTAACCATAATATATAAATGCATATATTCCTAAGAAAATATAGCTCCTGTGGTGAGATATTGTGCATGCGCTAACACACTAACGTAGCCAGATTGTGTACTGATTGGTATATGCAGCGGACACCTTACATGCAAGGTAGTCGTCCTATTTCCTAAGTGAGGTGTACGGATGGTATGTTATCATAAAAATCTACACGCTGGGATACCTTCTCTTTTGTTTTAAATGCATATTTTTGTGCAAAATGTTATTCTTCTCATAAGATATTGCGCATGCGCGAGCACCTG